TCTTGAATCTCGTCTGTGGGCTATGCGGCAGTGATTGATGAAGCCTTGAGTACTGGAGAAGTTGTCCCTTTGGCAATCGATGCAGACTAGCTTGACCGTCTGACCGTCGGAGCGCTTGAGCACACAAGGACCAGCCTTCTCCTTGGGCTGAGGGTAGCCGTTGGAGAGAGACTGCAGCTTGTGATGGGACATGCCCCTGCCGGAACGTGGCTTGCTCAGGCTGGCAAAATCGACGATGCTGTTCCTAGTCGTGCGACCTTCCGCCGACGTCCTGCGACCAACAGTCTCCATGACGGGATGCCACTCAGGCTGCATGCCGTCAAACTTGGGATCGGGGATGAGCCACTTGGCGTAGTGACGCGCGTAGGGACCATCGACAACACCAAAAGGCGGAGCCCATTCTGGCACCATCTCACCGGGACGAGGTTGCACAGCGGGGCCTTTGCCGCTGCTGAGAGTGGCCATCTGCTCGGGTGTGGGACAGGTAACGGGATACGGGATGAGGTGGCACCTTCGGAGCTGCTCGAGTGCAACCTGGCACTTGGCCAGCTCCTGGTCAACAAGTCGCAACTCGTCATGCTTCAGCAGAATCTCAAGACCAAACTGGTAGTGAATAGCATCGCGTGCCTTCTCCAGGTCGTTGGCAGCTGGGGCAGTCGGCATCACAATGGACGGCGCGGGCTCGGTCTGAATGATGGTCTCTACTGCGCCGGCCGACAAGGGGGTGACGTCGGCGGCGATGGGGGCATCCATCTTGGTCCGCTTGGTGGCGGGCGGTTCGGTGAGCGTTGCATGAAATCAAAATCGTCACTTGTTTCCAGTCTCCTCTTGGTCGGTCGCACTGGCGTCGATGAAGCAGTCGAGGCCAAGGGGCGGCTGTGCTGCTGGTGAAAGATGTGTTGCGATGCGTCAGAGACTGCATGAGTGAGTGTCGTGTCGAGAGCGTGCTCGCGTTCAGAGCCCAAAAGCGAAACGAGGTGAGCATGCTCTGTGAGCGGGAGACGAACGAGATGGTCGTTCGGGGCGATGTCTGACGCGACGAGGACGCTTCGGTGAATGAGTCGTCCAACGTGTGATGCGGGTGAGATGAAGCGGATTGCGTGTGAGACGGGGTGCAGGGTGAGATGAGTGAGCACCAGGGGGGGAGGGCAGGGAGGCGACGGTGGTGATGGCTGACGTAAACTGTGGGTCTACTGCAGGTTCGGGTGCAGGTCGGTGCAGGCTGGTGCAGGCTGGTGCAGGCTGGGCAGGCGGACCAAAAGGGGGAAGGAGAAGCCTGGTGGGAAGGCAGCAGGTGCGATGATGTGGCCGGAGCTGTAGCGTAGCGTGGCGTGGCGCGGCAGCGGGTCTCTCGAAACCCAAACCCAACGGAAACCCGGATGGCAGGGGTGGCAGGGGCCGAGCTCAAGCTGGGAGCGGGTCGCTGGGAGCCTGGCGTGGGAGGGAGAGGGAGAGTGAGAGTGAGAGGGCCGGGCGAGGTGTCGACAGAGGCCCAGAGAAAGGGGTGGAATGACGGCAGGAGTAAGGAGAGTGTCAAGGACAGTCGCGCAGCGAGAAATCCACGACGACGCGACAGGACCGAGTACTAGTTAAAGTCTCGATGCGACGGGTGAGGGAGGATGCGACAAGAAATGCGCAAAAAGTATTAGAAGTGAGTTGAGTCGCAGAGGCGAGAATAAAAAGAGGAAGAAGTGTCGTCGGTCGGCTGGTGTTGATCTGCTCCAAAGGGCGTCGTCGTCGTGATTGTCGTTGTTTGGGAGGGGTTGGGGAGAAAAGGGAGTGTAGTGAGTTGTGAAGGGGGTAGGTATGGCGAGTTGAAAGGGGAGGCGAGTGAGCGACTTTGTTTGAACGGGGGGGGGACTGAGTGGACAGACAGGACAGACGGGCAGGCAAGATAGCAGCAGCTTGGGAGGGCGCAGGCCTTGGGGTAGGACGGGTTGAGTAGGGTGCGAGGCCCGGGAGCCAGTCGATTTCATGGGAAGTTGGGGCCCACGGGCGCTCCTGAGGTGAGATGCCTTCACTGGGCAGTCGTCGTTGTGGTGGAGGTGTGGTGTGGTCCAGTCGAGCAGGTGGTGTGGGTCCTGCCTGGGTCCTGAGTCCTACGCCCTGAGGTCGTGCCTCTCTTCCCACTCACTCACTACCTGCGATGGCGAATTCCAACCCAATGTGAATGCGACCTGGGGCCAAGGGCTGCAAGGGGGGGAGGGGGGCCCCTAGGGGACGTGTGGGTGGGGAGTCGTCATGGTTGGTCGGCGTATTCCTCCCACTTCGTGATGATGGAGAGACAAGTACGAGCCAGGCTTGCCAGGCTTGTCAGGGAAGAATGGGAAGTAATGTCTTCCGAGAGACAAGTGCACTTCGTCGCCTTCTTGTCTGGCCCGGTTGGTGTATTATGACAGCGAGGCAGCTGCGACTGGTCGAGCTTCCTTCCCCTCCATCAATGATACGGGTAATCTGCGATGCCCTCAACAGTGCACTTTGGCAGGACGTGGCGCATTAGTTCTCAGCGAAGTAGCAGAGTCCAGGCGCAAGCTGGATGCGGAGGAAGCTACCCAAACGAAAAAAAAACCGCCTGGAGATAAATGGTCCCGGCTTCGTTGCCAACCTGCTCGAAATGATGGTGTCGTGCAGATAGCTGCTCCCCTAGCGGTGCCTAGTGGTCTCCATATTCGGCACCAACTACCTGTGCCCGTTCACTCACTGTACAGACGGTAGGCACCCACCTATAGTGCGTACATGGTAGTGAAGTGAGCCAGGAGGCACAACTGGCATCGTGCAGATGTACCCAGCAACTCTTTCCTTCTGCGGCCCCCCTTTCCGGCCCCCTCCTCCAGTGAAGAAGGAACGCAGGAAATGGGCAGCAGGAAGCACACAGGCGCAGACGAACATGGAGAATCGGATCTTCCTTCTGTTGGTCTGACGCAACCCCGTCGTCGTGATTCTACGGCCGATCTCCAGGGTAGCATGAAGCGATGCGATCCATACCGTTTCATGTTTGTCTCTTGTTGTACTGTAAACACAAACTGCCTAGTATACAAAATGCCAATACCTGCGCGTCTTACGTTTGCCCCTCCATGCGCCAACGCGTACTTTCCACTGTATCTGGGGTGCATGGTTGCAAGGGCCATCCGCCCAGGGAAGCAGATGAAAGAAAGGAGAGAGGTAGGGGTCGTTCCGAAGGGGGTGAGGGGCACTGCCTCCTTGCCTTGCAAATGAATGCGGTTGACCATCACATTGCATTGCCAGCCGTAACTCCCTTTTTTCTTCTCACCTCGACAGCTACATCAAGACTTATTGACAAGTGGTGGTGGATAAGGATGAGGAGGTTGCAACCCACTCATCGCGCTCGTCACAGACCGGTTCGAATTAGGACGCGGCCTGGACCAAGGCGAAACTGCGAACGTCCAGATCTTTGCGTCCTGTCACGCTCTTATGGTCCATTCTACGGCTGCTTTTTTCGCCCACCTTGCAACCTATAGTACTGTGCCACCAGATCAACGTCCTACTGAAGGGATCATCGCCTCGCGACGTAAGGCGGCAGGATGACACATGTTGCATCTTCCCAGGTTGCCTCGCCTTAAGCTGTGTGGATTCTGGGCTTGCAGACAGGGATCGTTGCTCGAAACGTGACACATCACCCAGCCCAGAGTAGCAACGCCAGGTCTCGGATGCCCGTCCTCTGATAGCGCGGTACTTCAACACGAGGGTGCAATCCCGAGCTGAAATGAAGGCCGGGGCCTCCGCCTTCCACACGTCTTCGATCCATGGAAGAGACCGGGATCCCTCATTTCATGCCTAATGGTTCGAGAGATGACCTGGCAGATAGCTGACCATCGGCCTCCCTTGCTTGCTTCTGATTCCAGGTGGAAGGAAGCCAGGGCAATGGATTTCAAAAGGCCAAAACCTTCATTTGGCCCCTCAGTGCCTACGGTCGAGGGGCAACACGATCTTGATCTCCTGTACCATGCACGGCGACTTCACCGGCGACCTTGCGCACAACAAGATGATGTTTACCCAATCACACTACCTGGCACCGAGTCAATTCGCGATGTTCATCATTGTGCTTTGACTGCAAGTCGATTATTTGCTGGCTTGTGTCACCATCATGCGGAGCGTGGCTTTATCTGGGAAACCTTCGCAGGCTGCTTGCAGCACGAGTCGCAGCGCCGGGGTCGGAGTGGGATCTCGAAGCTTTCCACGCGGATGGGGCTTCTCGATCCTCGCAACTTATCGTCGATGCTATTGACGTGTCGAAGCGAGTCGAGCCAGGGCTTCGGGTAGCTTCCGTGATCCGCGAAGCTGGTTCTGCGCCGGCCTGAATGTCCAGAGGCCAATCACACTTGCAGCACCAATCCTGGAGCCGCTCACAAAAGCTCGGCTGTGCCGGACAGGCTACTGCAGGCCAAATTGCACGCTATGAACTACAGCTGGTAGGCGGGATGCACATGCCTCTCTGTTCAGCGACACTCGTAAGGTGAGAAAAGGCGTTGTTGTTGTTGAGAAAGCGCTATGGCACAGCACCAAATTACATGGCACTCTCATGGCATTTCCTTTGGGCATCGAAATGCCTTTGGTTGTCAGGATGCATTCCAATCACCCCATTTCCCATTATATGATCGACCGCCAGTGCGAGCTTTGAAGCCCTGGCCCAAGCTCCCTACCCGCGTCAAACAGCCAGAGCGGCGGCCCGAATCTGGACTTCTGGCCTTTGAACGGCGGCTTTCAAGACCGCTCCACATAACCCACCATGGCAGAGAGCCCTTACCTGTTTCGTTCATTGTTTTGTGACGCGACCTCGTCTAGTATGGCGTTACAGCTGCAAACGGAAGAAGTTGGTCATGGGAAAGGAGACGACAGGCGCCAATGATGCCTGGAAGGCAAGTTGGGTTGCACGTCTGATAAGCGTAGGCAGCATCAAGAATGTGGTGGGACCACTGAATATCGGACCTGTTGGGTATGTCGTGGCAGGTCGGGACAATGTTATCTGCCATTGCTGCATTTCCAATCGCGGTCTCCCCTCGGTAGGACTGACTGGCATAGAGCCGCAATGTTACAGTCAACGCCTGTGGATCTGGATTAACTACATTGCAGGACTGAGCGCAACTGTTCGGCTGTGTGCGTCGTTGCGGGCTTGTTAGCCATGCTGGACAGGTGGCGTTGCTGAAAGCAAGCTTCATAGTGCAAAAAAAAACGAAATGAGCAGAGACTTTGTTACCGGTGCGGAGGGCCACATGTCATGTTGGCCACACATTGTAAATCAATCGGGCTGCCCTATATGCAAAGCATCTCCTTAAAGGCACTGTTCCTGGAGCGAGGCATCGCCTGGAAAGGATGGGGGTACGACGTTTATACGACTATCTGCGATAGGTTACTCAATATCTTTGTCTAATGTGTCAGAAGGAAAAAGACACCAACCGGCTTTTTCACGTCTCACGTAAGCAGATGGCACTTCAGGACACGGGAGCCAATCTGGTTCTACGCCAAACAGTCTGACTGGGTGGGATCTTGAGAAGGTGACGGCACCGTTCAGTTCGCTTTCTATACGACTCCTCCGGAGGCCACCCTCGGGTTCGGGTTGGAGACCCACTCTCAAACGACAAAACCGAGCCAGGTACAAGCCATTCCCAGCTATCTAGGCAGTACCAGGCACCGCTTTACAGTTGTTTTAAGCTCATAACCCTCGCTGGACCCGAACCCGCGTATTTCTCTCAAGCATGCCACAGCTTCGTCGCATTCATGTGACGTTAAGGGTATACTTGGTATAATGCTGACTTCAAGACGATCTCACACAAAGTCTCGCAAAGGATGCAAAGACTGCAAGCGTAGAAAGGTCAAGGTAAGTAGCTCACATATACTGAGAGTTGAGATTTACAGGCATCATATCGTGGCCGCATCGTAAGAAGCCTGCGCTGACCAGTATCTCCAGTGCGACGAGACATATCCATCATGTTTTCACTGCACACGTCAGGGCATACCCTGCAGCCTTGCGGGTGGCAATGCTCTCACAGACATCTCCAGTGACACTCGAACGCCCAGGGAACCTCCGTCTGCAGTGGCATCAGTGACGGCCCCCTCCATCACCGATTTCATCCATCTCGACATTGCCCTTGATCCAAGGCTGACTGGGCCCGTGGCGGCGCCATCCCCTTCACCTGGCTGGAACAGTCGGGATCTGGAGCTCATGCATCATTTCACGATATCAACGTGCGACACGTTGACGTCGCGCGAGGACATGCGACACGTCTGGCGGGTCACCGTCCCGCAGGAGGGCTACAAGCACTCGTACGTCATGCACGGCATGCTCGCCGTGGCCGCTGTCCATAAAGCGCAGCTCGTGCCCAGCGAGCGACAGACGTATATTACTCTCGCGGCCTACCACCAGTCGCTCGGCCTCGAAGGTTTTACGCCGCTCATGTTCGACGTCAACCGCGACAACTGGAAACCCATATTCTCATTCGCCAGCATCGTCGTGTTGTATGTGTATCTGCTGCCGGCACGCTCGGAAAACCAGCGGCTTCTGACGCCATTTCCGTCCATATTGGAGCTGTTCAGCTTTGTGCGCGGCATCCAGTCCATCATGCAGAAGTTTGTGCACTACATTCCGCGCACGAGCTTTGCACCGATCATATGGAGCGTCTGGATCACAGATGTAGACGACCCCATGAACCCGTACGTAGCATCCGCTCATGAACCAGCCAGCGGCGGCCAGACTGACTTGTGATAGACACCCACCCCTCGAAAACTCGTGCCTGCCTCGGGATGTATACCCAAGCGCTGAAGCGCCTCGAATCTGCATTTGACACCGGAATGCGGCCAGACTTTAGGGACGATTACCTCAAGGCGATAGACGAGTTGGTGAAGGTCACGCGCCTCTTGGCGCACGCCGGCGTCAGTGTCGAGAGCGGCATGGTCATGTTCTGGCCGTATGTCATTCCGGAGCGGATCATGCTTGACATTGAGGCCTTAAACCCTCACGCTCTCCTGCTCCTGTCCTATTACTGCGTATTTCTCAACATACTAGAGGGCCGCTACTGGTACAGCAGGGGTTGGGCGAAGCCACTGATGGCCGAGATTGATCTTCAGCTGTCACATCACCGAGAGCTGGCGGAGCTGCTCAAGTGGCCAAAGGAGCAGATCATGGTCGATAGGGGCCCTATGTAGACGTGAAGAACACGATTGCGAGGCACGCCAGGCTGTGAGACTGAAACAAACATTCGTCCTCCAAGGTAATGTAGGAGGAGGTTGGCATGTTCTTCCACACAACGGGACCTTTGTCTGGGGGTAAGCACCCACGTCGCAAGGGTCCAAGCTCCACCCGGCGTTTGGTGGTGGGGTTCCAAAAAGTGGCAGGCTTCCTTGCAGACTTTCAATCCCGCATCTTCAAAATCTAGGTACAATTCAAACTCGGCACCCGATCTATACCCTTTCGCTGCTGGTGCAAACACCACGCGGGAACTATCAATTGCTTCAGCTTGCCAGAAGTAAAGAAAAACACACCGAAACAGAGGGCGCACACCGTCCATTGAGCGGAATGGCGAGAACACAAGGCCTCTCGAAGGAGCTCCCACACAGCAGCAAGCGCAAGGCAGCACAACCAGCACAACCACCCAAGCCAGCCAAGAAGCCGAAAACCTCCTCAGACGAAACCCTGGCGGCCAGCAACAGCTGCGCTAAAACCGACAACAGCGGCCCCCGCACCGCAGCAGGGTCGGCCCCCGCGACCGTCCCGCTCTCCGCGGCGCACGTCTCGGTCCTCGCCGACCTCAAGACGAAATACGACATCCTCCCGGCCCTCGTTCTCTCCTCATCCAAGATCCAAAAGCGCGTCGCGTACCTGCTGCGACACCTCCGGAAAGACGACGGCGACCCCCGCCCGCCCGTGGCGCTGCTGCACGCCCGCCCGCACGAGGTGTGCAAGATGCTGACCATTGCCGAATGTCTGAAGCGGAACCTCGCGGCGGAGGCGGAGGCGGGCGCGGGCGGGCAATGGTTCCAATACAACATGCTCTATGCGGTGCCGCTACGGGCAACAAAGGCTGAGGAGGTCGTGGATGAGACGGTGTTTCCCGGCAAGGGGGCGGACGCTGCGTCCGAGGGGAGCGACGACGACGACTTTGAGGTCATGGAGAGCCGGTTCGAGAGGGCGGTTGTGCCGCCCCCATCTACGAGGGTCGCCATGTCTCTGAGCATCTTCCTATCGGCGGTGCCCGTGCCGGAACTCAAGGCGCGAGAAGGCGTGTCGGTGCAATTGCGCGAGTGACGAGACTGAGTTTGTTCGAGGAGGACTCGGCATGTTGCTGTGGCAGAACGGATAGCGGTCGGCCTTTAGGTTCTGATATTTTTATCTTTTTGGGGGGCGTTCAAGGCAAATGTATCACGGGGTGGGCATGTATCAAACATGACGAAATGGAAAGCGTCCTCTTGGAGGGGACCAGTTTTTGCTTCAGCCAGGAAGAGCGACAGGTTGCAACAATGCAACAAACCTGATCATTGAACAACACACCACAACACACGCCGTACAGGTTGACACGATTGTCTGTCGCAAAAACCTTGCTCCTTGCTAATGCATTCTGTCTAATTCAGTGAACTCGTAACATCAATCTTACTGTACACCCCGCCCTCACGCCTGTCCTCCTGCCTCTTCCATTCAAAACCTGACTTCGTCACCATGATCCTGGGGCCCCCGCTTTCGTCTCACACATCCATTGCCTCTTGGAATCCCCTCAACGCTGCCACACCGAGCTACACGACTGCAACTCCACCTGCCTGTCTCTGTCGAGCACTTAGGCTCCGCCGTGGTGCTTGTGCTCGTTGGACGAGTACGTTATCCTCAGCACAAAGTTGACGACGACAGCCAGCAGCAGGATGATGGCCAGGAACGTGGGGCCGAAGCGGTCATCAAAACCAGCCTGCCCACGTACACGGATGGATTTGGCTCGCCAATGATACGTCGCCAGGGCGTAGATCATGGTCAACATTGCGACGCCCGTGAAGAGGAAGGCGCTGATGAAGGCGGGGCGATCGCCAAAGTTCAGCATGCCGATGGCGAGGGCGCCGAGGATGACGGTGAAGTTGAGCCAGGAGAGGAAGGTGCGCTCGTTGGCGAAGAAGACCTTGGGCTCGACACGGGTCGGGAGGGCGATGCGCTTGCCTAGAACAAAGGAAGAGGAAAAGATGTCAGTTGACGATGATGGTAGATACGGCCAAGTGCAGACAAGACGTACCAGGCGCAGTCTGGAGGAGGGGTTGGCTCGACATTCTGGCGAGTGAGTGATCGGGATGCCTATGGCCAAAGGATCGAGGATGTTTTGGGTTTTCAGTTGGCGGGGGTTATGACGATATGTCTACCCCGACGACGTAGTGTTGACGATTTGGCGAAACGTCGAAGCCTAGGGAATCTGTGGATGGCGGTCCGTTTTCTTTTCGATCCTTTTCTCAGTCTCTGTCTTCAGGAGAGCCACGAGAGACGAGTCAATGCCTACGGGATACTGTGGAGGAATTTATTGGAAATAGTCGGCGCTCAATGGGGTGAAAAAGAGAGTCAAAAGTAGTCGCGGGTCTTGGGCAGAGCTTCAAGGCTGGGGAGCTTCCCCGTCCCACTTGGCACTCAATTGGGCGCCTCCTCAAGCTTTCTTGACCTGCTGCAACAGCAACAGACAAGGGCACGTGCAGTCAGCACCCATGATGGTTGGCCAATCGACGAGCACGAGGGCCTCGAGACGGCACTGCTGAGCCGAAGCTTTCCCGCTATCAGGAGACGTCTCGATGATTAAATCATGTGACACATGCCTCTGCTTAGTTAATCCAACCTCATCTCCGGTCACGGTTGCCCCTCGCGCTGCCTTGCAGGGTGGTGGCTGTCCGGGGTTGATGCGACGCGGGATGCCAAACAGAATTAATCTCTGGCCTCACCACAACCACACCACCCTTTTGACCTTCTTTTACCCCTACATACCAACAACACCATCTGGAGCTCCTTCCCCGCAGATTTACGTTCCGCAACCCAACAATCGCCTTTTCTGCGACCCCTCTCGAGCTGTCTTGACCCTGTAGATCACGGAACCATCCTCGTTGTTTACTACCTCATTTCCACACCACCAACAAAATGGCCGCTCAAACTGGACCTACTCCTGTGAGCATCGCCAGCAGATGATCGCACGCCCCACAACTCGTGACTGACCGAGCAACAGCCCATCGCCTTCACTCGCCTGAAGCAGATTGCGACCGATGTATGTTTCCCCCATCACATGGCATGGCGCCAGCAACAAACAACTGACCCCATGAATAGGCCTGCCAGAGTGCCATCGGCAGCGTCGAGTTCTACGATCACGCGCTCACCGCGGAATGGAACTCGTCCATCATTGTACGAGCTGCCAAACGATTTCCCTTCGCTTTGCTTTCCGCTAACAGCGCACTCCCTAGTCCTCCGTCCTGAAGGCCGTCATTTCAGAGTCGACCCCGTCCGGCGCCGCCGCACCGAGCTTCAAGTTCGCGTGCAACTCGACGATCGTGCAGCACCTCGTTCCCACGTCGTCGCTCAACAAGTCCAAGGGCACCGAGGCATCCTCCGAGGAGCCTCACATCTCGACCTCGACCGAGGCAGCACCCACCGCCACCGACGGCAAGCCCCACGTCGGCCGCCGCGGCATGCACTCTTCGACCGGCGCGTTCTGGGACGAGAAGAAGGACGGCATGTGGTCCTACAAATACGACGGCGGCGAGGGCAAGGGCATGGACGTGGTCATCATGCTCATCTGGATCGCCATCTGAGCGCCCTCGCGGCTCGCTGTCTCCGGTCATGCGCGCCAGTTCGTACGCCAGTTCCGGATGACAGGGTAACCGCCGAAAGCACCAGCGCGAGGCCACGTCCCCGCCAAGAGAAGAAAGGGCGGTAGGGGTCTCCCCCGCTGCCGCCCCAGGAGAAGAATGGGCAGCGCATTACGAGCGCCTGCCTGCCGAATGTGGACGATTTGATGAAGCCATGGACAGTCAGCAGATACCCCCTTTTTGAAGAAGCATGGCACAAGGACGGGACAAGATGAGATTGAGCAGGCTCGTGGGAGCTTGTTTGTCTTTCTCTTTTTTTTTGGCCTATGCAATCGAGAGTATACGGCTTTGAATCTATCTCGATCCTAAGGCCATTGATTTCACGGGTGGAAAGGAAAGGGGGGCAGGGGAGGTGGTCTTGCCTTGTCACGACGCTGCTTTTCACATTGTTGTACATCCATCCTAGCCGGGAGTTTGCGAACGTCTAATGAACCACGGATGCTTCTTGTTTACCCCCTCTCTTATGCTACAACCCGTGAGATGCATTGTTCATGCCATGGTTTGGTAACTATGTTCATGCGAGGCCAGGCGCATGAACGCTACAGAGGAATGGGCCCGACCGCGCTCAGCCAGTCTCATGATGCCAGTGATGCATTTGCTCCCCGGAACGGCAGAAAGCTGCATAATCTGCGGACAATTGACTTGCGCCGCGGTGAATTGAAATACTACATATCATTCGCTCACTCTTTCCAGACCAAGTCCAAGCAGGCACCAAGGATGTAAAATCTGACTAGGCGGCACTGTACGTGGGACCAAGGCGATCGTCTCTGAGCCTCACGTCAAGACATCAGCAAAGGATCACACCAGTATCATCGACGTCATACGATGCGCCAAGAGAGAGAGGGTCGCCCGCTCGTCGGTGCGTGTGTGCAGTAGCGCCGCCTTGCACTTTTGCGGTCTTTCAACTCAAGTTCCTACACATGCCACCACCCATGCCACCACCACATACGATTTCTGAATGCGAGCGTTGGATCCTCTCTGATGGAGCAGAGTGTGGATGGGACAAATGCAGTGCACAGCATGGATCCCATGCAATTCCCTGCGCCGAAGGAGTGGATCGACGTCATGGCGGGACCCTGAGATTCTTCGTGTGAGGTCTACTGTACATGTACATGACTAGAAGATCAACACCTAAACGGGTGTTGGTTGGTGACGGAATGGCCTCGAAGCAGAGGATCTGACGCTGATGGAGTGGAGATTTTGCAACTGCGTGTTGTAGGTATCCGGTAGAAACGGTGGCGAAACGGGCAATCGCAATGATCTGATCATAGCAATCAATTTGGCCCTGCAAGATAGAGCAGCGTCAATTATTAGGTCGTGGTGCCATCGAAGCGCTTCCAGCATAGCGATTACCTCGACTTGCTGAGACTTCATAGCCTCGGCCAGGTTCTAGTCGCGGTTCACTCGCCGAACCCCGAACAAAAAAAAAATCAGCAGCCACAAGAAAAAACAAAGGTCACACAATAAATGGCCCCTTCTGGCGTGGTGGTTGTCACACAACACAAGCGGCCGCGCCGTGGCGCCGCTCCCCGCTGGGAGATCGAGCGAGCGACCGTCTTGTCTGCCAGGGCGGAAGCGCTGCAGCATCGACGCTGATCAGGGCACGGGGGGGCCTCAGCTGGTGAGGGCTGGCTAGGCCGAGGGCGTTTCGGCGTTACGAGCAAACGGACGAATCGGCTTGGAAGGACGGTGTCTCGCCTGCGGTGACAGCGACTCGCGACTCGTCTAGCCACGGCTGCTCCGACAGGGCAGCTAGGAATAGACAGATAGAGTGCTGGCCTGCGTGAGGGTGTAAGAAGGTGCGTGGGATGATCTGTCGGTGATGGGTGATGCAGATTGGGTGCATGTTCTGATGCAGCGACTCGTGACAGATGCATCGTTCGTAATTAAGAAGAGATGAGGTCTGCTCGGGAACTCTCCTCGTTTGGTGGCTCGAGGCCAGCCGAGAACTACTCTTCCTTGACATGGGCCGCCGCCAATGAAGCAAGCAAGCGCAGCTCGAAAGCTCGAATACGTTATTGGGTTGGTGTGACTGGTTGCTCGAATGTGACGATAAACAGGTCTCGAGAGGTGTCACCCCACGTTTTGGGTGGTTGCACCACCCACCAGCCGAGGGTGACGCGACTCTGTCCGATGTCCGAGCCTGTTCTTTGGTAGAGTGCCAAACCGCGTCTCTGTATCTGCCTGCATCTACATGCAGTAGGCATTGCAGATATTGAACATATTTTGCTACAGCTTTTGCGACTGACGCGGAAGGATTTCGGACAGACGAAGGGAAACGGTCGGTCTGGGCAGACCGGTTAGCGGTGACTCGGAGGTACCTAGGTCACTCAGAGAACTGGTCGTCCCCTGCCCCTGCCTAAGCGGGCGATATGGGTCCAGCTAGACCCAGACCGTCCACCGTGGCCGACTTGATGCCCACTCACGATCTTTGTCGACGTCAAGAAAGTGGGCTTCGATCTCGTGGCAAGCCACGCCTTGCCTCCCCCGTCGCTCTTGCCCCCCGTTTATCCATGTGGTACCTCCAGGGAAGGCGACACTGGGCCAGCACCAAAGTAGGGGACCATCGTGGAAGTTGTGGTTCAGGGCTGGCTGTCGGTCCCTGGTCCGGTTCATCACACCACCTCCCTCTTCACGACGTACTTTCACCGTTTCTCCCTACCATGTTCACCCTCTGTCCCTCCCCTCTTTCCGCCTTCTCCCGCTCCTGATCTTCCGCCCCGGCGGTCCCTGTGCTAACGAATACTTCATCTCCGTTGATCCTCCGTTAGCTCGTCACTTGTCACTGCCACTGGGATCCCGAATGACGCTTCACCCAAAAAGACAACACCCCACGATTCCCCCCCCCCGCCGTCCTTCCGCCTGATATAAGGCAAGCCCACCTTTCGCCTCTCTCAAGTCCCAGTCCTTATTTAACCCCCCCCTTCTCTCACTACCTTAGTTATCCATGAGCTTGCTAGTGAAGCTACAAGCAGAACACTACGAAACAAACTTCGATTGCACTGACGATCACCTCAAACACTACGACACGAGCCAAAGCGTCACTCTCGCATTGGCCCTAATCTGATTGAACTTGACAAACACCACCGCCACCACCACTTACTACCAATCTCTCCACGCCAGACCTCAGCTGGTGTTCTCTCCCCACGAACATAGAGGGTCGACAGTTCACCGCCACCATGGTCGAAGTCTTTTCCTCGTCGTACGCCAATCATGGCGTCTCTACTATACCCGAGGACTCGCCCATCAACGACGTCTCACGCGTTGCCGCTGCCACCGTCGCCGCCCGCATCCTCATGGGCGCCAGCGTCGCTTCTCGGCCCGAGAATAAGACCATGACACGCGAGGAGCACACGGCCATGATGCACGAGCTCAACAAGAAGCGTGCCGGCTGGCGGACGCCCCGCCGCGGCTGGTCCTCCACCGACTCTCCGGTCACCGAGTCGAGCGTGCCCACACCGCCCGAAACAACGTCTTCCCACACTGGCGACATGTCACATCGAGCTCTTCCCGACCGATCTCTGGCAGCCCAACATGCCGCTGCCAGGAAGCCCGCCGAACACACCACGTCCGCCGAGCAAGCCCAGCGGCCCCGCCCTCCCCTGCCGCCTCCTCGCCGCTCCTACTCCGTTATGGACTACGAGCCGCCTTCGCAGACTCATCGCCTTTCGAGCCGGATGCTCATCACCGATCTGCCTCCCGAACTCCACTACGCCGTCTTTGACTTTCTCGACCCCCTTGACAGCACCTGCCTCGGCCTCGTCAACAAGCAGTTCTACGACATCCACCGCCGCATGCACGGCACCGTCCCCCTGTCCACGCGCCGCGAAGGGCCGAACGACCTGGAATGGGCATGGCGTGGCGCCGGCCCCCTCGTCCACCCCTCCTCCGCACCCCGCATGCCCAAGATTGACGAGCGGGCCGAGTCGTCGTCGTCGTCCCCGACGCCCGCCCCCGCCCCCGTCCAGCGCCAGCCGCACCCCGAGCCGTCCTCGGCCGCCGAGCGCCAGGCGCAGATTCAGGCCCTCGAGCGCCTCCGCGTCAAGGGCCAGGTCTACTGCCGAAAGTGCGGCATCTCGCGTTGCGAGCTGCACCGCCACCTGCGCGACTGGATGGCCTCGGCCGGCCACGGCTACGAGTACTGCTCCGTCAGCGCCAAGTACGGCCCGCCCGCCGCCGACGACGCCAAGGAGTTCTGCCATCTCCGCAGCCCCAAGAAGCCGCACCGCTGCGGCCGGCATACGAGCCGCGGCGGCAGGACGCCACCCGAGCAGAGGTCGTGAGGGGCTCGCGGGTGCGGCTGCTGCCAGGTGCGAGTTTTTGACGATTTGACTTTGTTTAGAGCGAGGCGTTTGCGGGTCGTTACGAGACACGAACACATAACAAACCATTTGATGGGCATATATCTGAGATTTTTTTCACACATGGACTCGTACATTTCAAATGAGAGACGCATATATGCGGTGCATCAAGGTGCAAAGACGAAAGAGCATGAACGCCATTTTCTTGTCGGCATGGATCCAGCAGGATACAGATGAGATGGTTGAGAAACTCGGGAGCATCTATGGAGCGCGGTCCAAGTACACATTGGACGATCACCAGGCGCGGCTGTTTTTTTGGCTTTTCTCACACGCAGACACCAACCACCACAACCTACCCCCCCTTTGCGTTTTTTTTTTTTTGATCTTCCAGGCACAGCACGCGCGGCATTGGCTGTAAGCGAGCATTGGGTTTCGGTTGGGGGAGGGCGCGCGCGGCGTGTGAGTGGACGGGGTGAAGTCTCGGTGTGTGGCTTGCTTACTTGCGTTTCGCTGCATGGCACACGCGGGAGGGGGAATGCATGAGATGCGCGCGTCTCGGGAAAGTCAGGGCCGGGGAGGGGGGACGCCCCGTGAGCTACCACCTGCCAAGAGGAGGTTCGTCTTGAGACATGAATGGAATACCAGATTCTCAATTCAATACCACATGGTTCTGAACACTTACTTTGCGTGACGTAGTGCTGGGAGCCGCCGCCGTCACACAACCTGCCGTATCGCCTTGGTAGGACCATGCATATATACACCATGCTCAAGGCATTATTCAGCCGCTTACTGGATCCATGTCTTAAGTAACACCGTATGTGCAAAAGGCGGATGGGTGAGCACAATTCGGCACGACATCAGGTAGATGCCTCGCTTCCATTCTATTTGCTGGAAGAAGCTATAGAAGAAGCCCGGTCCGCCCAGGCGCATCATATGAAAAGAAACATGTCGCTAGCCCAAAACTCCCATGACGCCGCCAGTCCAGTATTCCTTCCTGGTCCTTATACCAAACGCCGGGCCATGTCTATAGATGCCGAGTCCAACCCAACCGGATCAGAAGGAGAAAGATGCAAAGAAAAAAGAAGAAAAAAGGAGAGCGACATCGCTATAGCTTGTCGGGAATCTTCCACCTAGGCCCATCGCACTCTCCCTTGGCCTTGATCCAGTCTTGGATACCCTGCAGGTGCCACCCACTATGCCACACGTCAGTTGGCTTGTCTATCATGTTGCCCTTGGCCTCGCGCCGGGGGGCCCCCAGTTTGAAGCTACGACCGGTGCAGCAGATACCGTTGTGGTAGCGGTACTGGAAGCAGCGGCGGTCGAGAGGGTTGCGCGCCGCCATCTTCTGCTCAAGCTGCCTGCGCATGCGGCGCGAGCTCGTCTGCTTGTTGAGGCCGCCAGCTTCACCCTGGCCGTCGATCTGGTCAGCGGCAGCAGGGTCGCCTACTGCTTCATTCTCTGCCTCCTCAATAGCGTCTTCGTAGGCTTCCTCGACACCTTCATACTCGCACACTCTTGCACAGGCCGCAAGAGAGGTGTGGGCCTCTGCCTCGATAGAGTTCTTGTCGGCGTCTTTCTTCTCGCGCTTCAGGGTCTTGGGGTCCGCCTTCTTTCGAACGAAGGGGCTTGGATCGATGTAGCAGACGTCCTCCGAGAGATTGTCCCAGTGGGTGCGTGCAGCGACCATCTTGTTCGCAACAAAGGCCTTGTAAAGGTCCTTCATGAGGATGGTGTTCTGCCAACGGTTTTAGTGGGCCAAAACTCTTCACTGACCAAGAGGCCTGGACTTACATTCTTCTTGCGCGTCTGCTCAAACTGCCACATGGCGCTGACCTCCTCCGAGTCCATGTGATGCATGGTCAAAATCGGCTCGCACCAATGCGTGGGCCCGTAAGGCAGAGTGCTAGGCTTCTCTCCATTGAACATGGGGTGCGCGTGTTGCAGCTTGATGCCCTCGTTCTCGAGAATAGCCTTGGCGACCAGCTGATCGCCGCAGCAGTGACTGCGCGCCTTATCATCGTAGAATTCGGGCAATCCAATGACGCCTTCGACAAGGTTACGAACCATGGCGCCGCTGAGGAGATAGCCGCTGCCACCGTGGGCAAAAGGGATGCCCGCAAGCATGGCGCCGCTGCCGATATAAGCAGGCTCCTCGAGGGGGTCGACAACGGGGCTTTTTGTCTGGAGCCAGTAGGCGAGGCTGGGCCAGACAATGTAGGTGTCTGCTTCCGTGAAGAGGTACCACGTTTGGTTGGGGCGCATCTGCCAGGCGCGCTCGATGATGTGAAGAAATTTGTACTTGTCGAGACTCCATGCGGCAGTAGCAGCAGCACCGCGGTAGGTGTTGAGGCAGGACTTTTGGGCGACGGGGCACTCGGCCTGTGTGCGATACAGGTCGAATTCGGGATTGTCGGCCTTGACCTTGTCGGAAACGTCGGCGAGGGCGTCATAGACATGCCACTGGCCGACTTGCTGCTCGCGGTCAGAGAAGAGCAGGAAGTCGGGCAGACATTGAAGGTTGGTCAGGAGCTGTGTGGGCAGCTTGTCGAAGACCTCGGTGGCGCCCGTCTTCATGACCGTGAGGATACCCTGGGTGTCAGGAAAGTCGCGGCAGGGGTTCGTGCCGAAGTCATATTCGCGGACAACGTGATCCTCGGTGCCCTGCTGGTAGAGGGTGTTGTTGTGGGTACGCCCTGCTTGATAGATGGTCTGCAGGCCATCGGTGATGGCCCGCTGCACATGGACAGTCTGCTCTCGGACCTGCGTTTGGTTGTAGAAGCTGAAGATGGCGAGCAGGCCGAGGGTCATGAGAAGCATCGGGCGCCAAGAGCGGCGGGAGTACGGGTTGGAGAGCATCCTCCGGGTCCCGAGTGGTGAGGGGGGTTTGGAGGGGAGGGGCAGGGGTTCGAAGGGCATTGAGAGCCGTGAGGGCCGGGCCCAGTGAGTGTTGGCCGTCAACAAGGGGATCCGGAGTCAGCGTCCAAGTCGTCAGTGTAGAGAGCTATGGGAGGTTGCGTTTGATGGAACTCAAAATGGGCGGTGGTCGGGGAGGGGAAAAGTGATGTTGGCCTGACAGAGGAATGTTCAGATGCAAAAAATGGGCGAAGTCTGACACTAGGTCAACGTGACAAAAGAGAGGGCACGTTGTTTGGGGGTGGTATTCCAAGAAGGTGCAGTTCCTTGATTGGTGACGCGTATGGCAGAGTGCCGCGAGTGGGGATGAGCAGACCGCAACAAGGCACTTAGGGTAGATAGATGGTGGTGGTGGCCCGTTCCTAGTGACGGGATGATTTCTGGATGAATGATGGGTTTCTTGGTGAGGCACGCCAGATGAGGCAAGGTGACGGGATGCAGGATGGGATTCGAGGTGGAGAATCCCCTCAAGCCAAGAGAGCCGCGCAGTCAAGGACCTTAGCTCGATTCGATTCGATGGAAACGGGGGGGAGGGGGGACTCCGGGACCACCGCCAGAAAGCAGCCAGGAGACGGGAACCAGTGTGCGCACTCGAGACGCAAAAGGGACACTAGCAGGCCTGTCGGAGGTTTGTATTGAATAGATGATTTTGCACCTCAGCCAGGAGGAGAAATGAAGCTCAGGGATGAGTGGAAAGAAACGTAGGAGAGAGAAGCAGGAGGAAAAAAAGCCAAAGTCAGGCACGGCAAGGGAAGAGCAGCTCAGCCAACTGCCTAGGTCTAGGTAAGTAAGGTAGGTAGGTAGTCAGGAAAATATCGCGTAGGCCAGGTAGTAAGTAGTGCTACGTAGGTGGAACGAAGAACGTAGGGAAGGTTCGATAATTCGTCCCCTCCAGAACGAGGGACGCGTGAGAGAGAGATAAGAGAGAGGAAAAGGGAGAGATGAGATGGATGAATTGCATTCGTCAGGGCAGCAGCACCGAATCGGGACGAGAAATCCAGCCAGACCGGGCCCCCTTTCTTCCTGTCACAAAAGGGGAATCAAACGAAGAAGAAAAAGAACACAGATTGTCTGTCTGTCCCTGCTCTGCACTCCACCGTTCACTAGGTTTTCACTATCCGCCAATCCATAGCCCACTGTTCGAGTCGAAAGCTCACGGTTCGCTGATCTGCTCCTGCTCTGCACTGACGTAGGCGTAGCCGCCAGGGGGGTGGGCTCCAGCAGCATGTCAAGCTGCTGCAGCATGAGTGAGATGCAGATTGAAGAAGCACCCAATCCCAGCTCGTTACGAGGCGACAGGGGTGTACAGAAGGACAGGTGCCCAGCATGGAACACGAGGCGCAGTAGACGGGGCGGGCGCGGCAGGCGGAGCTTCTTTCTCGATAGTCAGACTCATGGTTTCAAGATGGGCAGATCTGAAAAGTAAGGTATTTTGCCTTGAACATCGGATGTCTGCTGGTTTCTTTCCATACCCACCTTCTCCATGTCCCTAGGTACTCGAGGACGTGGATATGAGGCAGGTCTGCTGGTAGCGCTGGTGTGGCAGAGCTGACAGTCCAGGACGTGCGGAGCCTCCAAACAGTCGCTCTCCCTTAAGTACCTACTAGCCAACCCTCGCATCAGTGATCAAAGGGCCGCCCATAGCCCTCCCCGACTTGAGCTGCCGTCATATCATAGCACGAGACGGCGGAGAAGGGGAGAAAAGAATGGACTCATCTAACACGGCCCTGCTCTCCTTCTTCTCTCCTTTCCAGATCTACGGCACAAGGTGAAGGGAGCCCGCATTCCACACATCTCTCCAACCACCCTTCCCCCCCCTTCGACCTGTCTCCATCCTCCCTCCATCCACCCCTCGAGTCAGTCTGCCTCTTTGATCGCTCGAGCACAATATGGATGAGCGCAGAAAAAGTGCATCCCGTAGACGATCCGAATCTCACCCAAACCAAGATGTGCACAATTCCTGTTCGCTTCAGGCTTGGCTGGGCGCCCCCACACACCCGCCTGCCCACCACCACCGTTTACCTGCCTTGCCAACCTTGTCTTGGAGTGTGCTGGGGAGGGGTGGGGGCCCGCAGTTGCAGAGAGCCGCGCAAGTGTTGCATCATGATGAGATGGCTCTCGTCTCGCGGCTTGCCCGGCGCCCCGGTCGAGCCACGTCGCTCTTTCAGATGGGGCCAGGGGAAATGTATGAATCGTATCAGCGGCATACCGGCCATTGTCCGACTCCGGGGTGGGAGGAGAAGGAGGAGCCTCAACGGGCCGTGGTACACAAGCCATTCGGCTGGAACGTCAAAGTAACCAAAGCCCAGGTGTGGTCCATGGATCAGACGATCGGTCGGCCTTCGTGGCAGCCAGGTGCGGGATGGCCGGCCCAGCGTAAGCAACGAGCCGCAGCCTCATTCCGCCAGCCACTTTCCAGGAATCGCGTCCCGACTTTCTTTCATTTTTCTCGTCTTTGCTTTGTGAAGGTCCGTGTGCACCATTTCGGGCGCCTTTTCATCCATGAAAACCAAATCAAAATTGCATGCCAGTTGCCCAACCGAAAAGAAAACACTTTGCCAACTAAAATTCACAGACCTCCTCAGCCTGTCCAATTCAATCACCCAGTCCTGCCCAGTCCCCCACCCTTTCCAAATGATGAGAACCCTCCCACTCAAGCCCAACACAAGCACCAGCCGTCTTTGCCCATGTACACTATACGCACTAGCAGAATAGAACCAGCCAAGACAAGACAAGATGACCCAAGCACCAATTATCCAGCAAGAAACGAAGAATGAGGAAGCGGAAGAAGAAGAAGAATAGAGAAAAAAGCAAGCATGAAGAAGAACGAGACAAGGTATCAAACACTCCGAACACTGCGCGCTCCTTCCGCAGCATCACAGCTCGTGCGTCCAGACGCCGACAACGCCCATAACGCCGCTTTCCCACCGTGGCGCGCGCTAGCCGTCTCCACCTCATAGCTGTCTCTTCCCGCGGAGGACGCTTTAACTAAATCTGTTGACGAGGTAGAGCGGACGCGTGTGCTTGTCGGGTGCCCGTGCTAGTAGTCTATTTTCCCCTTTACCAACCTGCCGTGCGGGGCTGATGCGGCAGCGTACTGTAAAGGGCTTGAGGCGCGTTACTTCCTCAAAACAGCGTCGTACACGCTGACGAGGCCAGTGATGGCGGCGCCTGTCAGCACGCCCTGCCACCCGCCATAGAGGGCCGAGTTGATGCGGTCTATCGAGTCCGTCTCGACGAGACCGAGCGTCACGCGCTGGCCGAGCACCAGGAACGATGCGAGAGCCTTGATGATGCTGAAAACAAGCGGGTCCACGTTGTAGTCGGGCTCGGCGTTGGCTGCCGAGCGGCCCCGGCGCACCGTCGGCCGGCTTGCGGCGCTCAGATTGTAAAAGTAGCCGAAGATGGA